TTTAGGAAATAACATCTAACAGAGCAGGGCTGCGGGGAGGAGACAGGGTTGGAGGGAGACAGGAGGGAAACTGAGGCACCCCACGTGGGATTTGGCCTTTTTCCTCATCACTAGGATTGTTCCAGTTTTGCAACACCCAAAGAAGCCTCAAACCAGGTAAGGGGGACTCAGGACATTTAAAAGAATGAAAAAAAAACAAACAAAAAAACCTACACCTTTTTCTAAATAACCAAAGATGAAGTGGGACTATGGGGACCCAGGGTTGCAGCTGTCATGACTGCAGTGCCCAGGCCGGGCATGGGGCCATCTGAGCAGTCCCCACCCACCCCGCAGACAAGGCCACGGCCGTGGCTCTGGCTCACGCCAGGTTCCCTACTCACTGCGGAAAGTCAGGGTCGTACAGCGTAGGCTGCAGGATTCCAGCGGGGAACACTGCAGGGAGGCCATGGTCAGCGGGAGACCCTCTCCACCTCCAGGCCCTGCCCCTTGTCTGCACACACCTCCTTACCCATCTGGTTCTTGTTGGGTAGATAGTAGGCATTGAGCGCCTGCGGGGGGAGAAGCCACCTGTGGAGGGAGGCTGGGGTCAGCTGGGGGGACCCACACTCCCTCCCCTACAACCCCTACCTCCTAGTTTCCTCCTCCTTAAGGGATGCCCTGGTGTCCCAGCCTACAGCCATATCCTGGGCCTCCCCTGGGCTGATCCCACACGCTGACAGCCCCCACTCGCACCCTATGCAGGCCTGGTCCTCGCTCCCCACCAGCATGTCTGTGAGGCATCAACCTCCTGGCGTTGGTAAGGAACACTGTCCCCATGGCACCCCATGGCACACCTGACCCCCCAGCTCCAGGCCAGGTACCCACGTGGACTTGTCCACCTCCTGCCGGATCTTCTTGACCGAGAGCTGGATGCTGAAACGGATGCTGTTCAAGATGTTCTTGAAGTAGGTCTTCTCGTGGACCTCAAACTGCATGGGGGATGGGCAGCACTCAGCAGCAGGCCGGGGCAGGGCCAGACCAGCACCCAGCAGGCCCCACGCCCTCCCCGCGTCCGTCAGCTGAGGGCTGTGGCTCCTTCTCTGTGGTGGTGGTTGGTCTCCATGGGGGCCTCGGCCACAGGCCTGGAGAAGCCTGAGGGGTCAGGCTGGGTAGGGCAGGGGCAGGCCCACCTCATACTCCTTGTCCACAGCCTCGGGTTTGAGCAGGAAGTCCGGGTAGCCCACCATCACCATCATGTACTGGAGCTGCAGGCGAGAGGGTGGTGAGTGGGCCAGGGCCTCAGGAGATGGCCTTCCACGCTTCTAAGGGAGAAAGCTCCAGGGCCGGCATAGGGCTGGGGCCCAGGCAAAGGGGAAAGCAGGCTGGGTGACGCCAACTCCACAAGAGGCGTCTTTGTCTCTTTTGTTATCCCAGTGCTTGGCACACAGTAGGCACTTACTGTGTGATTGTGGAACCAACAAATGGGAAAAGGGTCCCACGTCACCTTGGCCCGAGCGGCCGCCTTGGTCTCAGCATCCATCCAGTCCAGCTCCTCCAGGCGCTGGCCCAAGATGTACTTGATGTCTTCTACCAGCTGCTGTACCTGCAGGGTCAGGGGTCAGGAATCAAGGGTCAACCCAGGAGGCCTTAGCTCTGAGCCCCCAGCACCTGGAGTAAGGGGTACCCCCTAATCATTCAGCACCACTTCCTAAGCCCAGGGCTTGCTGCTCAGCATTCCTAAGGCCACCTCACTGAGCACGGCAGAGCAGGGAGGGCAGGAGCTTGGTGGGGAGAGGGTCCTGCAGCTGACAAACCAGGTAGGCTTCCTGGAGGAGGAAGCCTGGTGAGGAGTAGCCTGGAGGCTCAGAGCCCTCAGCTGAGCCCGGTGCCCTTGGCTGCAGGGGGATGTGCGGGGTTCCGCATGCTCCTCATGCTTGGACCAAGGCCATGCAAGAACTTCATGCCCATCTCAGGACCCACACCCCTACCCTCAAGGCCAGGGCAGCCTGACCTTGGCCTTGCTGGCAGCTGAGAAGTGCTCATGTACAAAGAGAGCACCGAGCGCCATGCCAAAGTGACGGTTGGCCTGGCCCAGGCAGACACGGGCCAGCTCCTGTGGCTTGTCGCTGCCCTCCATCTCCCGTGCCAGCTCGTGCAGGGCCTCTCGGAATGGTGGGGACAGGTGCTCACTCAGGACCACCACCACGCGCCACACCAGGTAGTTGTGTAGGATCCTGAGGGCCAGGTGAAGCAGCTGGGTGTCCCGACAGGCTCACGTGCGCGGGCGCCCCACCCCCAGCCCCCAGCCCCCCAGCCTAGGGCGGGACCAAGCACCTGCACAGGACTGAGGGCCATTCCAGGTACTCCCAGCCCCAGTCAGGGAGGAGGGCTGGGCCCACACGCAGCAGACCCACCTCAGGCCACCGAACCTGAGGCTGACGGGGCACGGGCCAGCACTGGTTTCTGACTTGCCGTGGGGTGGGAGAATGGCCACTTGGGGTGACTGCCTGCCTCAGAACTGGCCTCGAGAGGCCTCAGGTCCTTCCCAAGCGGGCCAGAGACCAGGGAGGCTTTCCTCAAGGTGGCCCTGGGGGAGCAGAGTTGCGGCCACCATTTCCCCTCCTGACTTCAGACTCACTCAAGCCTCACCGACCCCACATGAGGAAACCGCAGCCCGGGCAGCTCACAGCTCTGCCCAGGGTCCCACAGAGAAGGTGGGACAGCCAGGTCTGAACCTAGGGGTCTGGACTCCTTTTCTGGTGCTCCTCGCCTGCCTCCCCAGAGTGGGTGGACCGGACAGAGGTGGAGGCAGAAATTCAAAGCTCTCCAAGCAGATAGGTCTGGGATGCGGGGGAGGGGGGGCCTGGGGGGCAGGCGGGTAGCAGGCAGGTGACGGGCAGCTGTACCTGCGGGGTGTGGAGCGGATGAGCTGGGACACCTGCTGCATATAGTCTGTAGCCAGAAGCACGAGCTCTTCATCCTCTGAGAAGTCCTCCTGGAAGATCTGGTCCAGCAGCCACTTCCACCGCAGCTGTGGGACCACGGATGGGGACAGTGGGGTGGGGTGGCGGGGTGAGTCCATGGCCATGGAAGGCCTTGCTCGTCCCTGGGGAGGGGACAGCCCAGGAGTCCCAAGATCAGCGCCTCCCCCACCAGGGCTGGGTCACACTCACGTGGGGGGTGATCTTCTGGAGCTGCCCCAGTGTCACCTTATTGTATACGGAGCTAACGTCTCGCCGGAGGTCATCGTACTCTGACACTGTGATCTGGGGGAGGAGGGCAGAGCTGGCCAAGCCCCGCCCAGTGCTCCCCGCCCCCAGCACACAGCCGGCGCCCTGCTCACGTTGGCCAGCCGCTGCTCCAGCTGCAGGATCTCCTGGGCCTTTTTCTCTACAGCCTCAGCACCCAGGAGGCTGAGCAGGCGCTCCATGAACACCCGGTAAGCTGCCAGGATCTGCGCCAGGAGGGGCACGGCAAGGATGCAGTCGGCGCCGGGCCCTGGTCCAGGCCGCCCGCAGGCCCAGGCCTTCCCTGAACCCCACCGCATGCGCCCACACCTTCTCACTCTCCTCATCCTGAGCTAAGTACAGGGTCCTCTCTGGCAGCGTGAGCCCATCCTGGTCAATCTGTGGAGAGAGATGGGGGACAGGGATCAACTCTCCCGGCTCCTGCAAACAGACTGAATTCCCATCCGAAAAGGCCAACTGAGAACACGCCAGACATCCACTGTCACCAGCCCGGGGAGCATAAAGACAGCAGCCCCTCCCCCATTCCAGAGAAGCTGGTCTAAGCCCACACACCTGACCGGCCTAGCCTGGGGACAGAGGGGGGCGCCCCCCACCTTTCCTCCTGTAACCCAGTCCTCTCCCTGCCTGTGAGGGGCGCACTGACACTTGGTCCTCCGCCCCGCAGGCATCCCAGCCCGCCCCAGCCCGACAGGCCTGTCACCACAGCCCATCAGTACACCCCTCCCTCCGAGCTCTCACCGCTGCCAGAGGGCTGGGAGATTGCGGCTCCCGCGGCTCTGCTAAACACCGCAATTACTCGAGGGAAATTACTTGCGCCCTCCTCCCGCGCTCTGCCGGTGCGCGCTCCCTTCCGTTCCTCTCCCCTCCCCTCCCCTTCCGCACCCGTCTTCTGGGCGCAAAGGGAGCGCGGGGCAGGCATGCCAGGCCGAGGCACCGCTAGTTCCTAGCCGCTTGTGGGATGCCCGGTGCGGGAGGGGGGCCGCACTCACGCGGATGACGTAGCGCGAGGAGTTCCTGTCGTCCAGACTGACGGTGAGCGAGAAGAGCGCGGCGGCGCTGTACACGCCCTGAGCCTTGTACAGCAGCCGGTTGAGGTCCCAGGGCGCCGCCGCCCCCGGGCGCTCCGCCGCGCCACCCAGGTCCCAGCCCCCGCAGTCCTCGATGACCTCGAGCATGGGCCGCGGGCCGAGCCGTTCGATTTCACGCATGTCCAGGCAGGAGCGGAAGAAAGCGCGCACCTTGCGCTGGGCTGCGCCGCCGGGCCCGCCCCCGGACCGCGCCAGCAATTGCCGCAGGCGCTCCTCGTTCTGCTCGCCGATGGCCGCGATGGTGCCGTAGGTGAGCTTGTCGTCCGGGATGGCGTGGCGCCGCAGCCAGCCGCCGCACGCGAAGGAGTAGAAGTCCTGGCACGGGTCTATGCTGGCGTCCAGGTTGGAGGCCAAGAAGCGGGCGGCGCGCGCGAAGGCCTTTCGCTCCGGGCAGCCCTCGGAGCAGGTGGCGCCTCCCGCCGCTCCCGGGCCCAGGTACTTGAGAGCCAGCATGGCGGCCAGGATGGCACAGAGGCCCGCGGCGAACACCAGCCCCGACAGCAGGCACACCTCGCGCCGGTTCCAGCGCGGCAGCCCGGCCCGGGCCCCGGGGGCGCTGCGCCCCGCACTCAGCGGGAAGCCGGGGGGCAGCGAAGTTCCCCGCGCGCCTCCCCCACCGCACCGGCTCACGTACTTGACCTCCTGGAACTCGTCGTAGTGTGCTGTCATCGAATACGGGGCCTCCATGGCGCCGCGGGCACCACCGTGCAGCCCTTGGCGATCTCAGCTACAGGATGCTCCCGGCCGCCAGGCTCCTAGCGGGCCGGCGCATGGTCCCCCAGGGCCGCAGCTGCGGGAAAGGGAGATACAGGCTCAGAAGGGTACTGGGGCTCGACGGGGTCCATGAGCACGACGAGGAAAGGCACAGGCCTAGGTCCAAAGGCTGGAGGCCACCCCGAGTCCCCAACAACGAGTGGGCCTGGGGCCTGGCCTCCCTGCGCCACTCGGAGAATGAAGGAAGGGGACCGCTCAGAGTGGCCACCATCTACCACACTGCACAGTGGGGTCCTTTAACCTCCCCTCTCCCCGCATACAAATGCCCGCCGCAGGTTTGGGAGGCCCGTAATAAAGCAGGGGAGCACCGAGCATGGGGCCTGGCACGTAGCAGGCCTTCAATGAAAGGCTGTTTCTCTTCTCTTTGCATTTCTTGTTCCGGACCTGCTACAGCCAAGGCCAGGTGGGGGGAGGGGGAAAGCGGAGGCAGGGGAAAGGAGGTGCGGTCAGTGCCGCTTCTATGCAAGACCCTGAAGCCGCCTTCAGCTTTCCGCACGGGAACTAGACGCTCAAGAAAGCGACTAAAGAACCAAACTTTGTCCTCGCGGTTGTCCGCAGAGCCATCCCCAGCCCTGTCTTCTCTACCAATGGCCAGAACGCCCACCAGTCCCGTTCCCAAGCGGCCCGCGCCGGCGCGCCATCCCGCCCAGGATCAGGGAGAAAGCCCCGACGGCCCTAAAGGACCCGGAACCGGTTTCGTCCCCCGTCCTCGCCCTGGGCCACTCCCGGCTTCAACAGGTTCTCCCCGGAACCCAAACTTGGGCGAAGTTTCATCCCCGGCGCAGAGCGAGCTGGCCCCGCGCAGTCCGCGGCGCCAGAGAACCAAGCCCGGGAGTCGCAGCCGCAGCCTGAGCCGGAGCTGCGAGGACGCAGACAAAGCCTGGAGGCTAGGCGCGGCGGTGGCGGCGGAGGTGGTGGTTGATGTGGCCGCGGCGGCCGCGGGCTCGGGTGCCACTTACCCGGCAGGTGCGCGCCCGGGCGGAGCGGGAACAGAGCGGATCGAGCCCGAGCCGGGGCCGGGGCCGGGGCCGGGGCTGCGGCCGGGGCCGGAGCCGGAGCCGGAGCCGGGGCAGAGCTGGGCGGGTGGCCGCTGTCTCAGTGCGCCCGCCGCCTCCTCTGCTGCCGTGCCTCGCTGCGCCGCCCGCCGGCCCCGAGGGAGGGGGCGCGCGGGCGGCTCCACCCTCCTCCGCCCGCCCCCCAGCGCTCCCTCCTTCTTTCTGCCTCCATGCCGGCTACCTGTCAGCTCTGTGGCAGCTCGGGGGCGGGGAAGGAGGCTTCGGGAACACGCTCCCAAGGGTCTAGCACAGGCCCTGGGCTCTGGGATTCCAGCCCCGAGAGGAGGGAGGGCCTCAGGTCCCCTCCGTTCCGGTGCTCCCACTCAGGGATGCCTACCAGCCCGCCGGAAAGAGGCTCAAGCTGAAAATAAAGAAGCTAGTGGGCCAGCCCAGCCCACAGGACGGGAGCACCGTGCAGGGAGGACGCGCTGAAAGGCTGTGGGGTGCGCTGAAATTGCGCCTGTACCGCCTGGCACAGCGCCTGGACCAGAGGGGTTTCAGTAAGGGGCTTTCCGGGTCCTCCCCTTTAGCTCCTGCCCATGCCCAGCCCTCCCCCGGGGACATGTCGGGGTGTTGGTTGGCAGTGGTGGAGGAAGAGCCTCAGTGGCTGCCGCAAGAAGGGGCCGCAGCGCTGAGACCACGCGCCTCCCCAAACCTTGACTGCCCTTGGTACCCACTGCTCTGAAAGCCCCTGGGGTAGACGGTGGAGTGGAGGAGGGGGACCAACTAGAGACTAATGAAAGAGCCCGCCTTGCAGGAGCCAGGGGGTACTATGAATTTATCCACCCACTCCTTTCTTCTGGTTCAATTTGCTTTCTTAATGTGGGACCTCCCTCCCACGACTTGCAGCCCCTGGGCACAAGGCCTACTTCTGCCAGGCTCACTCACCACTGTACCCACAGAGAACTTGGAGCTTCTTGGATGAATGATACTATTTCTGTGACCCACGTTTTTTCCGTCCTGCCCTACCCATCTCTCTGCTTGCAGCATCCTTAGCAGGGGACCTCAGAGAAACACCAGCACTCTCAGGCCTGACGGTTCCAGCTTGCAAGACTGACCTAAACAACCTTAGAGACAGCCCAAGACTGCTGTGGAGCCCCATCTGATAAGAACCGGAACAAGGCAGGAAATAAAGGACCCAATACCCTGTCCCCTCCCTGGGGCTGCTTATCAGCCTGGCTACTGGCCACTGGCCCTGAGTGGCCACCTCTGCCCCCATCCTGCCTGTCCCTTTTCTGTCCAACTGTCCACCTCTGAGCTACCACTCTGGATACTCTGTGCCTCCATCTCTGGCCATCTCAGGGTCCTCCTTTGACCCGTGAGTTCTCCTTGCGTCCAGTTAATTCTACCTAGGGGAGGTGGAATTATGTAAAACGTGGTGATTCCATAAAGGGGGAGGGGAGGGCAGGGCGGTGGCAAAGTGTCTCTTTGTGCTTTTAATCTGCATTTTTCCCTCAATGTTTTTGTCTCCAGGAGGATAATTTTCCAGCCTTTTCAGGTCCTGATTGGTATCATTTCTCCAACAATGACAGCTTTTTATTTTCCCTGAAATGAATGCCACAAAATTTCCAAGAAATATAAAAATGGATATTGTCTCAGGGAGCCGACTCTCTTCCGACAGAAAGGCACAAAGGCAAACATGCTTCCCCAGGGACTCTGCTGCTCCAGTCACTGAGGGGTGGGGCACCCAGGCCCTCAGCGCCTCCTCCACCCCCCGCCCTCCCAGGTCAGCTGCAGGACCCCCCTCCTGGCCATCCCTCTCCCAGACTCTCAGCTGCCATTGATCTCTTCATCTGCCTCCCAGCTCCCGGCCAGGCCACCCTGTCTGTCTGCCTGGCTCCATCTCGCGTCTCTGTACAGCACCTCATCCCTCACCACAGCCCAGAGGCTCCCCCAGGCCTGAGCGCAGCAGGTAGGACCCACGGGAGCTGACTGAGGACTGGGCCCGTGACCACTCAGTCCTAGTCCCCCTGCACCGCCCACCAATAAAGAGCGACCAGGCCCCGCCTCCTGAGCCCTTCTGTCCCTCCTCGGAAAGGGAAGCTGCGTGCAGGGCGCTAGGCATCTGGCCCCCAGCTTCCTCAATCTCCTTGTGAATCTCGCGGTGTCCCCTCTCTGTTGTCAGAATGACTCCCTGACTGAGGAGCAGGAGAATGGCAGGACGAGGCCAAGCCCTGAGGGGGCAGCTGAATGCCTGTTTGGGGCAGGGAGAGCAGGGGAGCAGCTGGCCGGAGAGAGAAAGGGGTGCAGCGCTACGGGCAGAAGTGAGGGGAGCCTCTGCCTCTTCCCTTCCCAGATTCTAGCCCACCCTGCTGGGCGGGGCATCACGGTGTCTGGCTTCTGGGGAAGGGGTCAGAGCAGCCCCTTGTCTGCCTCACTCTATGGGTACAGCAGTCCCCACGCTAATGACTCCCGTCTATTCAGCTTCCACCAAGCGAGGTGCTAAGTGCTTGACCTCAGAGGAGGGCTGCTGACCTGAAGCCAGCCTGGAGCCCATCGTGATCAGACCCATCTCTGCACCTGTCTGGCCTGCATGTGTAGGGACAGACTGGGCCTCTATTTGCCTGCTGCTCGAACGTGAACCCCCTAGCCCTGCCTCTGCTCTGGGAGATGCCCCCCTGTTCCATCCCACCCCCACCAGTCCACTCCCCACCTCCAACAGTGCCGCAGCATCTTCCTTGCCTTGGAAAACATGTCCCCCAACCAGCTTCCTGTCCTCCGCCCAGCCTCCCAGGGCTCATTCCATCTATTATTCACAGCACAAAATGGATTTTTAATTTGAGAAATGAAATGACTCTCCCAAGTGGCCAGGGTGGCAGGGAGGGGGTGGGAAAGGCCGGAGCTGCCGGGCAGCCACTACACTGTATTGACTCAGACTCCTGTTGGAAAGCTGGGTACAAGGGTCCATGTACCCCACCACCCAGCCTGTGCCTTCATTCCACTCTGTTGCTATCACCAGTTGGGGTGAGTAGGGTGCCCGTTGGCCCTGCCTGAGCTCCCAGTGGGATCTGCTCCTGGCCAGGCGAGGGGCTAGGGACCTTGCTGTCCACTTGCTTTCAGATTCCTGGGCCTGGAGGGAGGACAGCCCTTGGGCTTCCGGGCCTTGTCCATCTCCTCCCCCAAACTTCCTGGCCGTCACTGGGCTGGGCCCCAGAGGCTCCCCAGTGCAGACCCCCAGCTGAGCTCCTCTGCTAGGTCCCAACACCTTGCTATGCCCGCCCCAGCCTGGGGAGCTGCCCCAGTCCCCCCACTGGCCTCCGGCTGGCAGTGCCCCTCCTCACCCCCAGGATAGAACTCACACGGAAGTGGCCGCGAGGCAGCGACCTCTTCCCAGCCTGCCTCGCTCTGCCTCCCTACCCCCTGCCTCTCTTCCCCTGGTCACTGTGACCTGTTGTCATCTCCCAGACCTTAGCTGGCTCTCACTCACCACAGGGACTTAGCACTTGCTGTTCCGGCTGCTTGGAACAGCCTTCTCCCAGCATCTCTTCCATTGGCCAATTGCCACGCATCCTTCTTGGGATGCCAGCTTCTCTCCTCTGGTCCTGTGCTACCTCCATGGGTGGGGGCTTGCCCTCCCTGGGCACCCACTACACTTCCCGCATCTTACTCAGCTGTGCAGCCCAGAGCCCGGCACAGCCGATGTATTTGATAGACGTGGAACGTTCTCACACAGCTGTGGTTGGCTCATGGAACGGCCTGTGAGAAGATATCCCAGGGCCAGGTCTCACACTGGTGCAGCGTCCCACCTATAAACCTGCCCAGGCTTTCAGTCCCGCCACACAGCTCTCCTTGGCTCTGGGACCCATCAGACGACAAGAGGGGGCCATTCCTCCCCTCCCCCGTGCCCCTGTGGTAGACTTCCATCCCCCCTGTGCACAGATTCTTCTCTGGGGTCACCTACCAAACTCTAGATCAGTTTTTATTTCATACAAGAAATATACAGAAATACATTCTTGTCTTATAAAACTTTAACAACACAAGCAGGCCCTCCTTCACACACGTCCCGTTCCCAGCCCTCCCCAAGGTAAGGTAAGCTCTGTGACCACTTCAGCATGAGCCTCTAGGCCCATGCCAGCATTGCTTTATTTTTTTAAGTAAATGGGACACCACGAGCTGTGTGATTTAGTGCCCTGTACCCATGGGCATACACCAGCGTCTCCCACACAGAAGTCCCCAGTGTCACCATCCCCAGACGAGGGACACAGGTTGTCTTGTTCACACCCAGGTGGTGGCCCAGCCTCCCAGCTCTGCCCTCTGGCCTCAGGCCCCACCTGTACCTGCTGGCTGGGGAGGCGCGCTGTGTTCCAAGCCCAGCTCAGCTTTAACTTTTCGCCTCTTCCTCGTTCCTTACTTCAGTCCCAGCATCTGGCTTCGGAAAGGCTCCTCTTCTCTGCCTCTTTCCCATCCCATCCTGTCTGAGTTCCGGCCCTTAGTCCTCCCTTCCTTACTGGAGGAAGGGCGTCTCTTCCCCTTGCCCACCCAGGCCCCGCGGCTGCTGCATCCCGCCCATTCCCGCCCCACACCCTCCGTGCCATCGTCAAGGCTTCCTTGGCCTGGCCCCAGCCCCCTTTCCAGTCTCCTCACTCAAGCTCCCCCAAGTGTCCTGCCTCCTCAGGGGCCTGGACTCCCACCTTCGCTCCTTTGCTCTAGTGCCCCTCCTGTCCTCCTTTAGGTCCATTTCAAGCTTCCCGGATCCCCTGTTAGTCCCTAGGGCCAAGCAGGTCCCCACCTCAGGGAGGCTGCCTGAGGGCCTCTCCTTGCAGCACAGACATGACCACGTGGTCACCCTGGAGCCTGCTGCATGGTCTGGGCTGTCGGACCAGGCCCCTGCTCGGATCTGGGCTGCCCTCACCCCCAGAGCTGTGGTGGAGCCCCGACGGTAACACGCGTGGAACAGCTCCCGTGCGCATGCTCTGTCCAGGCTCTCTGCCTGCTTCCCCGCACTGAGTCCCTGTATCCCCACCAGGAGGCCCTTGTCGTTGGCCCCAATTTACAGGGAGGACACTGAGGCCCAGGGAAGGAAAGACAGTTGCCCAGGTTCACCCAGCTCACAAGCCCTGAGGCTGAGATTTGAGCCCGTGTCGGCTGCATTTGGATTCTTGAGGACATGCACACCCTGAGCTGGGAGATGAAAGGACACTCTGAGGGGGACAGGCCGGGCACTCGGAGCCCAAAGGAAGGCAGCATGGGGCCAGGGCCCGGCTGGGATCTCAGTCCAGGAACTGTGTTGGGGGTGCTGAATGTTGGGGACCAAGAAGGTGCCAAGGCTGGCTTTGCCCATAGACGTCAGGAGGAATCTCAGGGCCTGGAGCTGGGCCTTGGCCTCCCCTCCACACCCCACCTGCAAGGGCCCTTCCTGGGTCTCGCTGTCTGAAGTGCCCAGTTGTTTTCTGTCTGTTGCCCTGGGTACATCCTGTACCGCCTTTGTCCCCACCTGAGGTTGTCTTGTGACTTGGCATCTTCGTGGCCTCTTTTCCTCAGCTCTGTCGGCACCCCAGATGTCCCCATCACCCTGTCCTTCCTGCCCAGCCTGAGTGGCAGGGCCTTGGCCACAGGCCACTGTGGTGTGGTCCGGGTGGACAGAGCCCAAGTGGGGTGATGAGTCGCGGGGGCAGGGAGGAGAGGGGATGGAGAGTCTGAGGTCTGCGGGCCTCTAGCTCTGACAGTCAGTTCCCTTGGGCCCACCGTACGATGGACAGGCCACAACAGGTGGCTCAGCTCCTGCCGCAGGATGCAAAGCCGGCCACAGGGGCTGGGGGTGGGGAATAGGAAGGTGAACCCAGAGGCTAGGACACATCTTCCAGTCAGGGTCACTGCAGCCCATCGCCTGTGATGTAAGGAGCCGGGCTTGGGATGGACAGAGCCCAGAGAAGCCAGCAGGACCTGAAGGGTCTGTTGCAGGCTTCACAGGGTCACTGGGCTGAGGTCCCCTCCCCCAGCACTCCCTTGTCATTTCAAGTGATTGGAGCTGAAGGGGATCGTTAGCTAATTAAAGCCAAGGCCACTAATTGTCCCTTGCAGGAGAGAAAGCAGGGCTGCAGAGGGGAGAGGACAGCAGGGCGCAGAGAGACTGGGGGGCTGGGCACAGGCCCCTGGCCCTGGGCGGGGCCTCCCTCTAGGCTGTGTGTTTTGCAGGGGGGCGCTGTCCTTGATGAGGAGTTTCGGGATAGAGGGCAGGAGTCCGGAATCAGAGCTCCCATCCAACACCTATGCTCACCCGCCTCTGCCCGAGGCCCCCCGCCCCGGGTTGTGGGCTGCGGTGGTGCATGGCGAGGGGCTCCCACAGACATCCTCTGGATGCAGTGATAGGTCAGATTTGAGGACAGGCAGCAGGATGCCAAGGTCCCCAGCCCCCGGCTGGCCCCCAAGCAGGAAGCCTCGCGGCCAAGTGTCTGCCTCCCCTCTGCCCCTTATAGCCCCAGGCAGGTGCTCTGGCCTCACAGGGGTACCAGCGGTGGGAGCACATCCACCCACTGCTGCCCTCAGCCCGGCACCAAGCTCCCTCCTAGCGGGGTGTCCTAGGGCCTTCTGCCGGAACTTATCAAAGTGGGTTCTTGGTTTTCTATTGCTGTGTAACAAAATACCACAAACGTAGCAACTTAAGACAAGAGGAATTTATTGTCTCCTTTTCTGTAGGTCAGAAGTCTGGGCGTGGCGCCGCTGGAGTCTCTGCTCAGGGCCTCACAGGGCTGAAGTGTGAGTCCGCTGGGGCTGGGCTCCCTGGGGGGGGGGGGGGGGG